AGGGGGACAGACACATAAGCAGCTGGTTGTTAAACCTCCCCTGTGCCCTCAGAGAAGAGCTCTGCCGTAAAGAGTCTGACATTTCAGCAAGATGAGGGCACTTGAATTGACCATTGAGTTTCAGAGAAGGTGAGGGATGAAGGTTACTAATTCTACATACAAATGGAAGGAGGCACGAATGGGCACGTTTGCGTGCACAAGACTAGGGAGCAGCAGGCCTCTGGGGAAAGTGGCCCTTGGTTGCATCACTGCAGGTGCCTCAGAACCTCTCACAGGCTGTACTCATAGCAGCTTCAGGTTTGTCCCTCCTTGTTCACGGTCCACCAGCACCGGTCACTTAGTCACTGTGGGTCCTGAGTCCCCTCTCCCACATCCCAGCCTGCTCACCAGGTAGCCGGGCTTCTCCCAACTTCCTAAGATGCTCTGGTGCCTGCAGCATTACAGAGGATAATTTTTTGCAATAATTGGAACAAAAAAAATCCCCAAAGACTTTGGAATTCTTCTAAAGGATCTTTTTTTAAACATGAAAGTGTTAAAAAAAAATGCATGTAGCTTAAAAATGAAAGTTTTGCACAGCCCTTAAGTCCCAGGGGTCTCTAACCTTAAATTGTTTGTGAGAGAAGAAAAATACTTAGAAAGAGAGTAGAGATGTAAACAGCTAAGGAAGTGCTTCACATTTGGAAAATCTGGGGGAATTTAGTGGCATTAAATTCTCATGAAGACTTTACTACGTTAATTTCAAGTAGCCTCATCATGGAGCTAAATCAGCAGTTACTGCTGACTCTCTGGGGTGCCAAGTGAAAAATTACGTGTATTTCTTTTTAAAGGCACACGGAGCTCCTTTAATGTGGCCGGGGCCCGTGGGGCCTGGACTCTTTCTGCCCTCTGCCCTCTCGATTTTGCTGTGCAGCATCAGAATTATGCATGTGGGTATTTGTGTATCTCATTTATCCACACTCAGCGTCAGGTGTGTGGGCTCACAGGAGACAAACGCAGTCCCGCAGGCCTGGAACGTCTAGTACGTTAGTATGAATAACGCGCATTGTATCACATCCTCTTGCTGTTTAGCTGATGGCCTGTGTTTCTAGTAAGATCACTTTCATAACTAAGATGCCTCTGAACACGAATTTTTCAGTCGTCTCATATGCACATGAAAGACCATCAGTGACAAGATGAAAGAGAGTTAATGCACCTGAATTGTGGAGCTGGCAAAGAATACTAAATTCTCCCCAGAACAAAGTACATATTTGTCTTGGGGGGGTGGGGGATATGCAACCAGAATGCTCCTTAGAAGCAAGGCTGGAAGATCTTTGACTCACTTGTTCTGGACATACATCACAGAAGTCTGAAACTCCTGTCAGAACTGACTCATGGCTGACCCTCTGGGTTTTCAGAGGCTGTAAATCACACAGGAGAAGATTGCCCATCTATCTCTTGGGGAGCAGCTGGTGGATTCACACGACTTATCTTTGCCTTGGCAGCACAGTTCCTTACCACTAAGCCACCAGAGCTCTCCAGCTGTCGTTGTTATTATTGTTATGTGCCGTTGATCTATGACTCCTAGGAACCCTGTGAACGATGACTCTAAGCCCTGCCGTATCCTGAGCAAACCTCCCCATCTCTGATACACCTGACCCCATTGCCAGAATCACTGTGTCAGTCCATTTCATCCAGTGTCTTCCTGTCCTGTGCCGACCCTGTGCCCTTCCAAACATGATGTCCTTTTCCAAGGGCTGGTCCCTCCTGGCACCATGCCCAACCAAGGGCTGGTCCCTCCTGGCACCATGCCCAAAATATTGAGAGCAACCTGATTTCACCCTCTCCAGCACAGACCTGTTTGTTCTCTTGGCAGTTCATGGTATGCTCAGTACTCTTTTCCAGCACCACAGCTCAAAGGCATCAATTCTCTGCTGTCATCCTTGTTCATTGTCCAGCTCTCAGATGCGTAGCAAGAAATTGAGAAGACCATGGCCCAGATGGAGTGCACCTTAGTCTCTAGATTGACATTGCTCTTTGCACTCTGGAGAGGTCCTTGACAGCAGACTTTCCTAAAGCAACTCATCTTTTGATTTCCTGGCTGCCAAGAATGCTGACTATGGATCTGAACAAGATGAAGTTGGCCACCAGGAAAAGGACATCACATCTAGTAGAGGGTCAACAAAAATAAAGCAATCCCTCAGTGTGATGGATTGACACAGGGGCCACAACAGCAGACTGAAACACCTGCCAGTGACTGTGAACATGGCCCAGGACCAGCCAGGGTTCAGTTCTGTTACACAAAAGGCCGCCTTGAGTCAGAGCTGATTCAGTTTCAGCAACAACAGATTTTGGGGGGAAGAGATTTTGTATTTTTGTAATTTCACATCATGGTCACTTAGGATCCCCTTGCTATTGGTGTGTCCCCCTTTCAGCCCCTGCATCGTTGCTTTGAGATAGTGCTTCCTTCCTATAAAAAATGTTTCACTGCTGTCTTTGAGCCTCAGTTTCCCAACGGCACCCATCGTCAAGAGGTCAGACACAGCAGCAAGCAAACACTAGTGTTATTTTGCTTCCCTCATCCAGACTCTTCCTGTCCTGGCTCTTATGGCCACAGTTCCTCCGAGACTCGACCCTTGGGTACTCTGTCCATGTTCTACGCATCTTTCAGATATCACCTGCATGCTGTGAAGCAATGCATTCTTACTCTCAGAGCACCATTGCTGGGAGTTCTTCTGCATCTCTGTGGCCCACCTAAGGATTCCCTATATCCCCCAAGATTTCCAAGTGTACAAAAACATGCAGGTGTGTGTTGGGAAGTACTTCCAGAGCCCACAATCAGCCCCTTCACTATGCTCTTGCCTTTAGGGGGCACTTATTCATTCACCACCTATTTATGGAGCACTTACTGTGTGCCAAATGCAAGAAAAAGCAGATAGCCTTTTTCTCAAACATTATTGTCGTTGTGGACCGTTGAGTTGGAACCGACCACAAGAAAACCAGATGGTTTTCAGAGGCAGCTAATCACACGGGAGAAGATTGCCCATCCTTCTTCCACGGAGCAGCTGGTGGCCTCGAACCATGTTCCCTTGGGATTGCAGCACAGCTTCTTGCCACTAAGCTTTTTTTAACACCTCTTGAAATACAGTTCCAGAGCATCTGAGGTACTGCATGGAGGCTGAAATGCTAGCATTTCTCTGAATTTTCAACAACCTATGAAGGAATATTTGTTCCCATTCCAAAGAAAGGTGACCCAACTGAGTGTGGAAACTACAGAACAGCGTCATTGATTTCACATGCAAGCAAGATTCTACTGAAGATCATCCAAAAACGATTAGAACAGCACATCAGCAGAGAACTGCCGGAAGTCCAGGCTGGGTTTT